CAAGGCCAGGTAGGCGTTGGCAGCACTCTGCCTTCTCCTGCTCTGTTCCTGCTCTTTTGGAACAGAAAATTGAACATTCCTACAGAATTTTACTGGCAAAAAGTGAATTGCTTCATCAAGAAATGAAGCATGATTCAGAGTGTGGCAACACTTGGGAAGGAAGTGGCTGGGGAATGAAAGAAATACTATTTGGGGGCCGAAGCCACATTGACTGTGACAGCAAAGTAGCGTGCTCTGCCGGCAAAGAGCACGGAGAGTGGATGCAGCTGTATCAACAGCTTTTCCCACTCGTGGGGTACATACACAAAGCAAGCCTTACTGCTTAAGGCAGCTTTTTCAGTGTATTTGCATTTACAGTTGCAACTTCTCTTGGATTAGCTATGTCCACCGGGTGCCTTGCTTCTCCACCTGCTTGAACAACCGATCTGTATGGGCAGAAGTCTGTGCTGTAAACATGGGTTAGAACAGATGAAAGTCCCTCAAGCTTTTAGCAGTATTTCAGTTTGATCATATTACCAAGCCTGTAACATGGGACAAATGTACACTAATGACATTTTAATACTATATTTTAAAAATTCTAAGTCATAGTAATTGCATAAAAGTGTTTTGAAATTACTTTTTTTCATGCCAAGCCTCATAACTTAAATTTTATTGTTACATCTATGAATTAAAGCTCTAATGAAATACGTTTACTACAAAAGAGGACGTTCAAATAAAACCAAAAGGGTCTCATTCCTCTTCCAGAACACTCCAGCCAATGTAGCAGTACTAATAAGAGTGCTTATTCATAGCCATTGGTAAGTGCTATCGCAGTGGCTGGCTGGGTGCAGGTACACCGGGCCACTGCCTCTGTGCCTGTGTTGTCATCCTAAGAGGGAATAGCTGCTGAAACTGTGGTGAAATTCTGAGAAAACTTATACCCTTCCCTCATCACATATAGGATTAAAGGAGACTGCTATGGGTCTTGGCTGTGCTGTAATTTGCTTTGCCACTGTTCTTCTAAGGCAATAATCTAGAAGAATTTGGAAAGACAGAGCAGAATAGAAAAGAGATAGTTTTGAAAGAATGAAAAATTTGTTTATAATTTTGAATAAAGAAAGTTCTGCCTCAGTATGTACACATGTTTTTCCTATAGTTGCATTTCCTGCATTTCCATGTAGAAGTGAATTTTAATTACTGTAATGCACAATAATAGAAGGTATCTCAGTTCTTATTCTGCGCAGTCAAGGTCAGAATTGGAAATTGAATTTATTCTGCGTTTAATCTGCAGGGGTTTGGGGTCCATTAAGCATGACACTGTTCATGTTACTTTTGTTAGCATTTTGGAAATACACAGGAAAGGTGATGGATACATGGGTTCATTCATATGAGCTTTAAATACTGTTTTGTTCCAGCTCCTCTAAGTTATAAGATTGTTCTGAAAATGTCGTAACTTCTGTGACATCTTTCCAGAACATGGAAAGGATGATCCTGTTTATAATCTCTTCCATGGCCAAGATACATATTTTACTGTAATAATGGTAAAGGGGAAAAATGAAGAAAAGAACACACCTTTTTCGTGATTTTTTGGTTTTTGTTTTTTTTTTTTTCCAAATAACAGGACGCGATTTTACTTTGAAGTTAGTATTCCTGTTTCTAGTAAATTAGTCTGCATGACTTTTTGAAGATGAATTACTTCTTAATTTCTGCAAACATATGTTAATGGAAATGATGAGAATATTTAATAATGTTTTGAGTATGTATTTAAAGCCAGTTAACTATTGAAATGACGAGTAACCAAAGGCACCAGTCACTGATAATTAAACAAAAGTGACGCTCATCTAATGAAATCTATATCTTGCCACGTTGAAAGACAGTGGCTTGTGAAAAAGAAAACTGACTTTCACTCTTTCATAACTTCATTGAATTTTTTTTTTTTTCTGAGTGAAAAAGATCACAAGCTAAAGCGTACCTTGGGGAACATTTTTTTCCAGACCACTTAATTACTTGAAAAGATAATCTGAATAACATTTGATCAAATTTTTCATTAGAACTCCCTTTTAATTTTTCATTAGCTTCATAATTAACTGAATTTGTACAGTCATCAGTCTGTTTACAGTGTTTTGCTTTGTAAAGTGCTGTACCATAACCCTGCCCCTCTCTCTCTCTTTTTACTTTCCAGATTATTACACAAAGTAGGGTAAGGCGAGAGTGTATCCTTCTCTTGGTGACTGGGACATCCATTTCTCCATAGCATCAGACTAATAGATGTATTTCTGTGGGTAAAAGGAAAATGGGCTTCTCTCTCCAAGTCTTATTTGAATTTTCATTTCATTCGATTAAGGTAGGGAGGAGTGCAAATTAAACAAAAGAATTGAAAATGAAATTAGAGAGATGTGTTGCTGAAACTCCACTGACGAGAACCTGACATGATTTTGCCACAAATAACGCTTTCAGACTTTATAGGGCAGGCTGCAGTTTGAATGGAGGATATCTTAGGTTTTGTAAAGCTAAAGGACTT